GTTGATAATTGGTTGGTCGAACTTACATCGAAATATGGGTAAAGATAAACATATATTTTACGTTTAAGTTACGTCTTGACATATTTGTATATTTTTCGGGATAGAAGTACGTTTATCCAACGTTGATCATAAGGATAAACATTAAACAGTATTTACTCGTCAAGTCACTGATTATATACTCGTCATTTGCCATCGGTTGTCACCAGTCTGTAAATGCACGATGATCAGCATGCAAGTGTACGAGTAGTGTATGACAGTGGCGTAGTCATGCATGATTTTTTTCGGGGGAGGGGGTGTGGTGATCAACTTTTACACCTTAAATACGTAACATTTTTAAATATTTAAAAAAAAATTTAAGACTTTTTGAGCGACCATTAAAATAATTTTTAAATTTTCTTAACATTTCGCTGGCTACGCCACTAGCTGGTGTATAAGCGACATAGTCTTCAAGTCAAAATACTCGACGAATATACGCTATTGTCGATTACCTAATCGTAATTACGATTCTCGCAAAGTACACGAGTCGTGGGACATGTGGGACTGGTAATTAAACGTAAAATATACGTTTTGATGTATTTTGATGTACTTAAGATCGACTAACTAATGATCAACGTATGATCAACGCTGGATAAACGCACGGACTATAAGATATCCGTGGATAAACGTAATTTTATCACGAGAAGTCGAGAAATATACGTAGAGTACGGAGTACCTCTACACGGATATAAAGATCCTTATTATAAACGTAGATTAAACAATTGTAATTTATTAATACATTCTTATCATGATTTGGTTTCCCGATTATTAGGTAATGCAGAATTATTCTGTTAATGACTTATAAATAAACGTTAGCTAGTATTTATGATATAGATCTCCTCCACCCCGCCGATCCTTGCAACGAACAATAACACGTCAATAAGCCGTCAACGGCACCCGGCGGTACGCCACTAAATCACTATATTATTTAATTATTATCGTCATTCGTGATTCTTCCGTCGTCGCTTCTCATTTGCCGTCTCGCATGCTGCACGAATGCTGGATTCTGGAATAGACAACGACGACGATGACATACAATATTGCGAACATACCTACTAAACGTTTAGTTAATGTACATTAATAGAGTCAAGACTTACTATTAATCAGGTAAAATGTTTCTTTTTTTGTAGTTTGTAGTTTCACATATTATATTGTGCTTGTGTACTTTCGAAGCCCTAATATTTCATCCAATCCGAAATAAACGATGTTAAGCGTTTTTAATTTTTCATTATTTTTAGTGAATTTTCAAATGTTTATTATTTTAATTATTGTTTAAAATAATATCAAAGGTATTAATTGTGCCCACTTCACACATTAAAATAGTTAAGCTCATCTGTCATCATATATGAACTATATAATAGTTCATCATGACATCTATATACTGTTAAGACTAAAGATTTAAGATGACTTATTGTTTTTGTTAAAATAACATTCATATTAATGTATTACATAATATATAATAAGTTTGGCTAGTTAATGTGAAGATTAATTAATAAGTTGATAGTTAATATACCTATAGGTACAATATGTTCAACATAATATTTTAGCTGTATACTATACTATACTATACTAATATTAGCTGTAACCTATGTTCCTGAATTTTTACATTAATTTAGTATACTAATGCATTCCTGAATTTTTATATTAATTTAGTAATGCAATACTAAATTAATATCATAATATCATATTGTATATATTATATATTAATGTAACTAGTGCTTTACAATTATATAGATTTATAAATGTTTCAGGTACCTACTAAAGGTTAATTTAAATTAACCTTCAGCATTGTAACTTGTATAAAGTTATCTATAGATTCTGCAGTTAATATTCTGTGCACTTGGAGCTACATTTTTGCAAAGTTGGGTTAAAAAAAAGTTGCTTAATTTTATTTTAGTTATGTAAGTACCACCTAGATCACACATAATACAAAAATCATTATTATTAAGATTATAAGATAATTTAAAATTGTGTAGTTAAAATTAAAATTGTTAATAAGGGCTTTAATAAATAATGTTGTTTTGTGATGATTTATTATATTAAATCTTATATTGTAGCATCAAAAGTTCTTGACGAAACAATATTTGTATAATATTAATACCATACCAATTTTTCTGCGTACAAATCCATTATTACAAATAGTTGTTGTAATTTAACAGCGACCAATATGGAAAATATTATTATTAGGTATACCGTTTACCTATTAAGTATACTTACAATTTTTCCAATAATTTTTAAATTTTATATTTTTTGTATCATTAATATTTTATTTTTATAACTTTATAATAAACAAATAGCTGTAGATAATTCACTGTATAAAATATAAGTAAAATATAAACTATATAATATTATTTTTATTGTGAATTATGTTTTTTTAATAATTGTGTGTTAACTGGTAGTTAATAAATAAATAGCTGTAACAATACCTATATAATAATAATAATAATAATAATATACTTAAAAATTAAATTGCAAAATATTTAAAAATTATTTTGCATATTTTACAATTTAAAATCCATATAAATCCGGTTTTTACATAACTTCTATACTTTATAATTTATGTTAATAATGGAAATTTTTCTGTTTTTTTTTTCTCAAGTTTTTAGCAACTTTATATTCTTGTTATAATTAAAAATGCCAAAATACGCATTTAAGCCAAGCTGTAGTTTATCTAAAAAATCAAGAATAAAAAGACAAAATCTAAGTACCTCTACTGAATGCAACATTGTATGTACTCCACTCACTAACCAAGAAGAACACCTAAGGCCCATTAATCTCGAAGTTCATAACTCTTACAGAATCACCACAGAATCGCTTTCACATGCTGACAATGAACATATTTTAGAAAACGTGGAATTAGCATCGATTGAAAATGTATCTCAAGAACAAAATATGCACAATAAATTAATACATAATATTTCTGATCCAAATATTTTCCAATCAAAACTTTCGGAGTACATTATTTCATCAAGAACTCCAAGAAGAAGTGCCACAAAGTTATTGAAATTGCTCAAGTCTGTAAATACATTAGATTGTTTGAAAAATTAAGACTTTATAAATTTGTTATAATTGAGTTTCTCAATGAAAGTTCGACCGAAGTTGTACCAATATCTTGGATTAAAATTGATAATACTCACCATCAATTCATCTGTCAATGGCCTGAAAAAGTAAATATTACAAAATATGCATCATCTCAAAAAAAACCAGTTGATACTTGGGAGAGTTTTCCATGTTGTCCTCGTAAATTTTTCAGTAAGATATTTTGAATTGTATTACATGTTTTTGTAAACTTATGTAAATATATCACTCAACAAAATGAATTAATCATTATATCCAGATACATATTCTGAAGCCAAACGCAGACTTATCAAGTTTTGTGAAACTAGTAGTACTGAAACAGAAGAATTATTAACGTCTAAGCCAAGAGTTCGTGTTCCAAAACGCAAATATTCATCTTCTGAAGAGGAGACTTCTGTCATTAGTACTTTGAATCATCAAAATTTGTCCAGAAATGTTAAAGGTGTGTACTATGTCATAAGATTTGTTTTACTTTAATTTAGTATTTACTTATATTAGACAGCAATTTTTCAAAGATATATTGACATTATTTGAAATTTATATTAATAAAATTGACTTATATATATTTTTGTAATAGTCACTCAAAAAACTCACACTGAAATCCAGAAAGGTTTAATGAACATTCCAAAACCAAAAAGTAAGACATTCACGTGTAAAAACTATATAAAATATAAAATATATTTTAATTTTTAATACTATAAAGATATGTAAAATAATACGCTTTAAAAAACAAAATATTTACTGTTGTAGAACCGATTGATTTTTTTAATAATGATGATGAAAGCCTTCAACAAACTCCTAACATTCTAAAACCAAAAAGTAAGACATTCGTGTATAAAAACTATATAAAATATATTTTAATTTTTAATACTACAAAGGTATTATATAAAATAATACACTTTAAATGACTAAATATTTACTGTTGTAGAACTGATCGATTTTTTTAATGATAATGATGATGAAAACCTGCAGATTAATGTAACTGAAGATTGTATTGTATCTAGTCCAGAAATGTTTACAGAAAAAAACACTACAACAGGTATATAATATACTCTTATAAGACTACCTAATGCAATAGTATACATAATATACATTTTTTTAAAATCAGATTTTATTATTTTTGAATATAATTTGTGCTTAACATTTGAAAAACAATGAATAGTTAAATATATAAACAAAAAAATAAAATGTATATTATGTTCCAATAGCTCATTAAGTTTAAATTGATCATTTATATTTTGTATTTATTATAGACTACAGTCAAGGTCATGATGAACACATTATAAGTGTTTATAACATGTTGAACAACATTGGTCATGCTGTTATGGATGGTACTATAACCCTTTTACTTACCTATGTATCATAATAATACATTATTATTATGTTGTTAGTTTCAAAGGAGCTTAAAACATTAAAAAAAGAAATCCATGTTATTAAAGTTGATGTAATCAAAAATCAGGAAATATTAAATAGTTTGGCTGAGAATGTCCGTCGTACAGTGTCTTCTGTAGACACTAGACAAGCTATAAACAGAGCAAGCTTAAAAATTCCTGTTCAAACAATTTCCGAATTAAATGAAATTGAAGAAGATGAGGACAAACTCAGCACATTAGTTAACTATTATAGTTGATTTTGTTAAATATTATTAACTTTTCCACTATTTGATTATTATTAGGTCCGTATTTTACAAAGAGATGCCAGATCATTCGATGCTAAACGAACCACTTACATGGCCATGAAACTCATTATGCAGAATCGAGTTGCTGAGTTTTTGAATATGGAGGGAAGGCGAGGAGAAAAAACAGCATTTGTCAAATTCAAAATATATACTTGTGTTATAGGTAGATATTCATATTTTTGTCCCTTTAATTTTATCTTCTCTTATAACTAAATATTTCTATTCATTAAAAATTAATTGTCAAAAACATAATTAAGTACCTATTTGAATAATATTTAAATAATATATCTATTTGATTCAGAACTACATTTAATCATGAGGTATGATTAGAGAACTTAGAATAATTTGGTTATTTGTGTTGTAGATTGCGTCAAAGATATTTTTCCAACAGTTTCACTAATTGAAATAAAGGGCCATATTAGTGATTGGTTGAAACAAGCTCCAAGAAGGAAATAAATTTATAAGATTCTGAAGACTAATTCGTTATTATTATTATTTTCTTTTTTATATTATGCAGTATACAACTAATATTGTATTTAGTATTGTTTAAAAATAAATAATTTTATATACTGATAACTGGTATACCCAAAATATACAGTGCACATTACTATACCTATTTAAACATTTGTCTAAATGACTAAATGAATACCTATAATATAAATATGTATCCTTGATTAAACATCTATCATAGGTACAAGAAAAATATACTATATCAACACTGAATCTTATCATACACAATAATACTACACCACATAATATGAACTTAGTATGTACACTAAGCATGTACCAAATCTATACCTTTAATTTGGGCAAGTGTGTAATTTTTTTCAACTAGTTTAAGTTAAGTACTTAAATTATTTAAACAAACTATTAAAGTTGGAATATAGGTTAGTTTATACAATTTTCAAAATGTCTAACTTAAGTTGGAGGAAAAGTTAGAAATTAGTTTTATAGTTTAAAATATAAATTTATAAACCCATTAATTTATATTATGTATAGTATTAAAATAAATTAATAATAAGATATCTTACTAAATTATAAATAAATCACAAAATACTAATATTTATTAGTAATAGTAAATAGTAAAAATAAATATTAATTATCCAATAATTATTATGTCAAAACGTTTACGGAACAAGGATTTTTCTAGTGAAAAAAAAAACAACAAAAATAACACTATATAGTAACTTTTTGTTTCAAATGACGAGTTCAGTTAGATTATTTTACACATTCGATATGACTATAGTCAACCTTCTAACTAGTTAGTGGCTAGTGCCCAGCTATTCATATAACCTATTAGATGAAGCATTAATCATGAATACACTGACTATATACATATTATACACCACATATAAACTTAATGTATACCTTTTATACACAAACACAAAGCATATACCAAATCTAAACTTTGTATATACCTATTATACACTAAGCCTAAACCAAATATACACTGACTTTATACCTATTATACATCACATATAAACTTAATTTATACCTTTTATACACAAAGCATATACCAAATCTAAACTTTTTATATACCTATTATACACTAGTCATATACAACATTTATACTGATCATGCACGTAATTTATTTGTATTTATACTACCACTGAGCATATTAGCTACGAAATATATACCATTTTTTCACCAACCCTATATCTATAATAGATGAAAAATATTCCATTTTTACACTGACATTAAACATGTCGCGACAATGAATTCAACTGATATTAAACGGATTTTATATGAAAAATATACCACGATTGTACGTTGAATATTAGTGAAATAGTTCCCTTTTGACCCACAAATATACTTATATTATCGGTTAAATAATCTAAATCTCTAGGTATATTATACGTACTTAAGTGTCAGTATATACATTTAATATACGTAGAATATTCGTGGATTTGTCTACTGGGATGTTCTACATATTTTATAAGACGGGGATAACACATGCTGGTGTGGAGTCCTCTTAAAAACTAAAAAACCATGGTATAATAAATGACCAGTGTTG